GTTCATCGAATTCTATCCCTGATAAAATTCTGGTGGGGGAGTAATGTGGCGTAACTACCACTACGAAAATTAAACATCAATTCACTGGTATATAAGACATGCTAACTTGATTCAATCCCGAGGTACCTTTTGATAGATGAAGGTTGGCATGGTCGATAACTCCGTCCCCACACGCTTGTGTCTGCAAGAGAAAGGGGATCTGAGTAGAGAAAAACTCCCCTTTTGAAGTGCGCTAATTCTTGTTTCTAAAGCAGCACACAACTTTAAACTTTGCTACGACGGAAGTTCCTTTTCATCAACAAACTACAGAATGATAAACGATTACTAATCAGAATTTTGTTAACGAAGATGAAAGAACGACTTACTTCTGCCCCTTCAATGAGAGCCAAAATAGGACGAACTTGCCAATAACTTTTAAATCTCATTGGGTCATTTTGCATTACTTCTACATTCTTTTTATTTTGAGAGATCAAGGCATAATCACAACGAATAAGAGGAAAATGTGGAAAGAACTTGTTTATTATCTTCGCTGTTGTTACCTAAAAATAGAATTAAAACACTGTTAATAATCTCTTCGATTATCAAAATACATATTTAATTTATAAATTATTTTACAATACGCAAAATAAGGTAACATTAATAACTTTTTATCTAATGCTTAGATCTCAATTTCTTCTATACAAAAAATGAACTTCAATCAGTTAAATATCTTCCATTCTGTTCGATGACGTTTTACCATTTTTCTGGTAACATCATAATCCCGCGCCCATAGAACTTCAGCTCCTTATCAGCAAAAAGTTCTTTAAAATGAAGGATATCGTTTTTACTGAAATTTTTACCATTTAAAAACTTTTGTAAATATTGAAATGACAGACCGTAAGGTGCAAGGTCGCAGTTACATAAGAAATCACGAATTGCAATGGAATCGTATTCCACCACGACTATGCGAAGAGCTTTAAAAACATTTATTTTTATGGAGTTCCTTGTATTTGAAGCTCTCCAAAATCAACCTAAAGACGATGCTATCAATGATTTATTTTTAAAATTGAAAGTTAAATTAGAAAAAAAAAGTTAAATTAGGAAAAAAAAGTTAAATTAGGAAGAAAAAAAAGCTATTTTAGAAAAGACTAAGCATCTCAAACAAACAAACGTCTTCTCTTCTTTTAAAGCTAATTTTTATGATATAAAATAAAATGCAAAAGTGAACAAATATCATAATTGTTTATTTATTTAAAAACAATACGGATCATTTTTATTGACGCTCAATCTTATTCATCGATTCCACGATGCCAACACAAATAGCATTTTCTCGTAAAGAAAATGATACTGACTAAAATTAAAATCGTTTGTGAAAAATCATGTACCTTCGATAACGTTTTCAAGTCAATAAAGGATAATATTTTAAAGCCCTAAGAGAGGCCAACGACCATTTAACTGTGGTACAGAGAGTGGTCGCTCCCCAGAGATTTCACTGTATCATCGTTATTTAATAAAAGTCGGGAAAAAAATTTCCAATCTTGAGATCAAAAGTTATTTAATTAAGGTGACCCTTTTTTTTTTTTTTTTTTTTTTTTTTTTTTTTTTTNCAGACAAGATGAGATTTTTTTTTTTTTTTTTTTTTTTGCCCTCTGCACTATACATTGGGCATACATTGTAGCCATACGTTTGGCATGCATATATACCTATATTGTACATATGTACATTAGAAACACATATAATTTACACATGCAATGGACATACATGTATGTATATGCATACCAATGTGGAATTTAGAAAGTAAACTAAAGACATACATTTCGAACAGTGGAAAAAGAGAAAAAGTTTTGTAATTTATATAATCTGAGAAATATGGTCACAAAACTTCGGACTTCTTAAGGTTAATTTTATTTTTTGTGTATTTTGCAATATCTTGAACAGCTTTTAAGCGAATTAAAAAATTTTGGCCCAAAATTTTAAAATTCGCTTATTTAAAGAAAATTTCATACAAAAAAAAAAACAATAGTACATATTTTTTTTTTAATTTCTTTGATAATAGTAGAAAAAATTTTGGATTGTAAAGAATACAATTTTTGCACCACTTTAAAAAATGGAATTTTATATGGCAAACTACAAAATTTGAGTGAAATCAGATGAATAGTTTCTGAGATATCAAACTTTAAACAAATAACCCCTTTTTTTAAAAATTTAATTTTTCAGGAACTATTCCTGATATCCGACAGTTAGAACAAAATTAAAAATTATTCAAGGTCTATTTTTTTATTATTATTTTTTTTTCGCACAGTATATACGTACATTTAATCTAAACACATTGTCATATTTATATATATATTTTCTTTTAAACATGTTACATACATTTTTAACAGTCATGCATCATTCTGTTAAATGAAAAGATAACATTTTAACATTTTTCTTCTTTTAAGCATACGTTTACAAACTTACCCTTAAAAATGTTGCTGTTTCTGGATTTTTTGCCAAAGCAGGAGCAATCAAAACTATTCCACTAAGCTTCACTTTTTTTTCTAAGGATGTTAGAACGGCGATAGCACCTCCCTGAAAGCAAAATTATAAGTTATACCTTTTATTGACTGAACAATTGAAGAGTCTGGGGTAATACAATATTAATACACAATTACAAATCATTTAGGCGAGCATTTTATAATCGAAAACGTTATTATTTCCCCGTAGACAATAAAATGTTTCTGTGTATGGTGCTGTTATCTAGTAGAAGTTCCAGAAACATATGTTTCTGGAAGTAATACTAAGGAATAGTTTGATGAAAAAATACATGTTCAGAAAAAGTATGACTAATCTTTCTATTTCCCCATGCAATAAAAGCCCTTCAATTGTAGTAATTTAATAAGAAAAAGGAGACAAATGTAAAATAGAAGCAACTATTACATTAGTCTGTGATTTTTGTTCGACTAAATCTTATTATTGCATTAGTCTATGTTTTTTGCTGTCACTCACTATTTCATGTTTATATGACAATATGAAGTAGTGGCAGGTAAATACAATTGACTCTGCTAGACAAATATTTTTGTTTATTTTTCTGAAGAAAAATAACTTTTTTTTTGGATATTTTGTTTTGTTATTTGTTTTTAGCTAAATAATATAACAGTGATAATATGACATGAACGTAAATAATATGATAATCAGTTTAATCTAAGTTTATCCTTGTTGATATTTTTACTGATTCCGCTTTTAACTAAATCTTCACCACATTTATACAGCTCAAATCTAAAAAAAAAATATTCTTACCATTATGAAACTTATTTTCCTTAAGAAAACTGCTTTAAAAATTTTAGCTGTTATAGATTATTTCAATAACTAAATTTATTAATGATAGAAAAATTATATTATTATGGTGAAATCTGAATTTTTTTTAACTCCTTTATAATGATCGAATTTTATAATGATCAATTCGCTATGAAATATTATACATTATGTAAAACTATATGTAACTTTATATGCCAACATTAACGAAAATCGCTAGTTGAAATAAGATGTATTTTTATTTCTCAAAAACAAACAAACCGATTTCTTCCTAATTGTAGTTCTTTAACACAAATTCTTATGGATATAATTCCAAAACTTTTCAAATCGTTAAGAAAAGTAATAAATAATAATAATAATTCAATGCTTTAATAGCACGTCTTTCAGTTTTGACCTTAAAGTTTTAGATTCGTTCAATACTTATTTATTTTAAAATAAAAAATTCGAAGAAAAAAAATTTTTTTTTAAAAAGAGCATGAATTTTTTTTATCTCTATACTAAATGTTTCCTTTTGTCTCTGTTTCAAAAATGTCATTATTTTAAATTATTCTGGGTTGTTTTTGATTTCTTCGTTAGTAGGTTATTTTCCTTCCTGATTATATCGATCCCATGATTCCGAGGCGTCCTCTTATTATTTTCCCCCCTCAAGATTAAAGTTTACAACGATGTTTGCTCAGCTTTACGAGAGCAAAGAAGTGCTTTATGTATCCTTCCAACTTTCGAAGAAATATGCCCTATTTCTATTCTATAATCATCATAGTTTCAAAAATTTTCACACTAATAGAACACTAAAACGCGTAATTTTTACTTTACGTATGATTTTTTTATGTTTTTTCACTTTTTTTCTCTATATATATTGATATCGTGTTTACATTAAGCGAAGTGCGGAAATATATTTAGCAGGATTACAATAATAACAAATATATTTCTAATTTTGTTGCTCGAAACAAAGGAAAATATTTTTTTTTCCCATTCAATAATCAGTTTTGAATATATCTTATTAACTAAAAAAAAATTCGTAGAAATCTCGTAGCAATATTCGTAGAAATCTCGTAGCAATAAATCCTTTTAATCCTTTGTTGAATACTTAAAAACACTTGTAAGTTCTTCTCGGTTATAATAATAATTGATTGTCTAATTCCCTATTCTTTTATATATACGTCACTAGATAACGCCACTATGAATCTTTCTGAAGCTCCTTTGAAATGGAAAGTTTTTGAAAAATTCACGTCAATAAACTTAGTGCTGCCATCTAGTTAAATTTAAAAGAAGCTCAATACTCATAAATTAAAAGAATAAATGAAAAAGAAAATTGTTTTCGGTCAATAAGTAAACTTTTCGGCTACTCTTTTATTGAATTTTTTTTTTTAAAAATGTAAGAATAATTTCTTCTGAAAAAAGCAAATATTTTTGAAATATATTTAGAAAGTTAAAAAATAAAATATCGAACTAATATCTGAAGAATGTTTTAAAATATAACCTTTAAAAAAATATCTTATATAAATGTTTTAAAAAAGATAGTCCAATTTTTACCTTCAGTTCAAATATATTTTGTTTAAACAAAACAATACTTTTTGTTTATATATTTCAAAATAAAAGCATAAACATTAATTAATTGAAACTAAATTTTATCAAATTCAAGAATATTTAAAATAAAAAATGCAGATACTCTAGCAAAATAATGTAATAATAGCAAAAAAATGAAAAGGGATACAATACCATAAAAATTAAACAAAAATGACACTACAGAAAAAGTAGTTTCTTTTATAAAAGAAGAAAAAAACTTTAAAAGAGCCTATTACCTTAATGAGACCGTTTTTAACTTAAAAAAAGCTTTAACAATTTGAATCATAAGCAGGATAGTATACATTTATTTAAAACCTATTATTGTGAATTCAGTATCCTTAGAATAATATTATAATCAAAATCGATATTTCTGCAACTTCAAAATGGTAATTTGAGATTCAAATCTGAGATTTTAAATTTGAGAAATTCTCTGAAAAATTATTATACGAGATTTTTCATATTTTTAGGAGGTGAACGGCTGAGATATAAACTATCATAATTAATTAATTCTAATATTTATGCTATTTAAGTTTTTACTCTAATAGTAATGTTTAATTTGTTTTTGGTAAAAATGATTACAAATATTCATAATTATTTTTTTAAAAAATTACTATTTACTTGATGAATAAAATACTATTTATAGTGTAATATGACAAAACAAAATTTAATATTGAAAATCGTAACACATATTAAAATCATAATTGCATCGGCCGGGAATCGAACCCGGGCCGCCCGCGTGGCAGGCGAGCATTCTACCACTGAACCACCGATGCTTGCTATAGATTTTATTTCAAATCTATAAGTACAAGTCAATTTTGTCATGATGTACTTCTATATATTGGCCTAGATTTTACATTGCAGTTTTAAAAATTAAGGAGATGTACTGCAGATTGAGAAAACAAACCCACCAATATATTACTACGTTTTTAATTAGTAGCTTAGAAAACAACTTAAAGGAAAAAGAATTTTCTGATATAGAATGATTTAACTCCCTATAAAATATTGAAATAATTTTAAATCTTTAAAATAAAAATTACGCTCATAGTTGTTTTCATTATATTGTATACAAGCTCATAATAATGTTTAAAAAATTTAGAAATGAATGCTTACTTGACACTTTTTTTTTTACTTATTATTAAACTAAAATTTATGCACTTTTTTCACTATCTTGATCAATAATATATTTTTAGAATGCTTGTCAAAAATAAAGTCAACGAAGTATGCACTTTAGGGGTCTTAAATATTCGAAGAAAATGCCAAAAACACGTTGAAATATACCGGATAAGCAGTAATCAAAAAACGAGAATGTAAGTCACTAAGTCTGCTTAATTGCCAAAGGAATGAGAGAGGAAGTGAAAGGCGGAAATTAAAAGACTTCCAAGATTTGTCAGGCAATCAAACTGGTTTGGATACTTTAGATCTCTCATTATTTCTCACTACTGATCTAACAAATATCGATAGCGTTTTGTTCATTCCGTTCTTGGATAAAAAAAAATTGTAATTTCGCAACTGCTTTATTTCTGACAGAATTCTAAAAATGTACTTTAAGCAAGCACGGTGAAATTTTATTCAGTGATAAATATTTTTTAATCAAAAATAGTATTAATGAAAATAAAACTATATTTCCTTACCACAACATTGCATACACAATAACAAGGCAAGGACACGGTATTAATAAATTGACGAGAATTTTAGATAAGACAGACTCAATAGCGTACTGCATCACTGGGAAACCATGAAATTCAATCCCCTGTTTGTTCTAGGTGATTTTTTGTTAAAAAAAAATCCTAAACGAGTAGTTTTATTTATTTATTTAACAATTGATTTAAAATGGTTGGGTTTTTTTTCCAAAGTATTTTATTTAATAGTTGTGAAATATTTAACCAAAATGCTTTCACTCATTCTTTTTTCATATCAAATGTGGCCATCCTAGCCTAGAAGATTTCGATAATCAATCCTAAGACTGATTATAAAAAATATTTATGCATTTAGATACTGTTATTTCCAACAGCGTTATTTTTCTTACAGTTATTTTCAGCAGCGTCTACCGTCTAGTATCGCTGCTGTACTTAACGGAATTTTAGTTCTAAAAGTAACTTAAGTTTATTATATAGTTTCTTTCTTTCTTTCCTTCTTTCTTTTTTTTTTTTTTTTTTTTTTTTTTTTTTTTTTTTTTTTTTTTNTTTTTTTTTTTTTTTTTTTTTTTTTTTTTTGCAATATTCTGATAATTTGGTGTTACTCTTGTTCTGCTTAATATTTAACAGGTGCTTTATTTTTATCGAAGTAAAATAGAGTAAAAATAGATTAAACGACAGAAGGTGAATATTTGAGTGTGAGATAACGTTTAGTTTTGAATAATAAATTAAGAAGAATGTTTAGATTTAGATAAGGAAATGACAGAAAAAGATTAGTCCAAGCTTTTTATGTTACACACACACTTTATATCTATGATAAATGTATAATATTATGAAGTTGACCAGCGATTTAAAATTGGTCTGGAAAATTTTTTTACGGGACTAAAAAAGTAGATAAATAATAGTGATGAGAAAAACTCCTTTTAATGAAATTTCTTACCATTGAATGACCACAAACAAATAGTGGAAGGTCTGGATAGTCTTGCCTTATTATTTGAATGTGTGCAACAGTATCGTCAACTAGATGATGTATGTCCGTTACGAAAGCTCTGTTTCCCTCACTGTGACCATGACCAGCTACAACAATAAAAAAATAATTATCAATAACTTAAATGAACCATTAAATTATAATATGAATACTCTTAGTTTGGATACAGTATGATTATGTAACGTCAGCAAGTGTTTAAATCTGTAAACAATTCGAAATGTGCGTTTACGAAAATGGACACAGCTCAAAATGCGTCTTTACGAAAATGGACATAGCAATTGATTGCATTTTTTAAACTTCTTTTTAAATATTGTTCTTTTTTTAAAAGAATAAATCTAAGAAACTAATAAATTTACTTGGTATATTTTATTAACTTAGTCTTTTTTAGAATACTTTAAAAATCATCAACTGTTTTTGTGCAAGGTTGCAATGGGTGCTATAATTTCATTAAAGTGGCAGTGAATTTAAGCTGTAGGAATTCAGTGTTTTATAACTTACTTTGTGGTTTAGAATTCTGAATACTAAGACATCGCTTGAAAAGTTGCATATTTAATATACCTAGCCACCCCAACACCAAAGTCCTGGACTTTGCCCAGAATATATGCTTTGTGTTTAAATAAAAATAAACACGTAATACACAGTTAACGTGATTAGTAGTGAAGTTTTGGTTGACAACCAAAAGGGTGCCTTTTTTGTAGAGTCCGTTTTCGTAAACATGTATTTCAAGCTTTGTCCATTTTCTTAAACACGCATTTAATGCTGTGTCCATTTTCTTAAACACGCATTTAATGCTGTGTCCATTTTTATATAACTGGATTTCGAGCTTCGTACACTTTCATAAACACGCATTTCAAGCTTTATCCAGATTTGAAAACTCACGAAGGATGAATTAATCTTGAGATTATTCCATAAAAATACCCTTTATCTTGAGCCGCATTGTGTAAAATATTTTCTAACAATATTCCAAATGCTATATTTTTCTTTTAGTCTATCTCTACATTCTACTCTAATCTATCTACTTTAGTCTATCTTTACATTGCTATCGCTACATTTCGTCTATCTCTCTCTTTCTATTTTTAAACTTATTAGGCAAATCACAATTTGGTAAAAAGGACGAAAGTTACAATCGAATTGAGATAGTAGAAGTAGGAAAATTAGAGAAAGATGGGAAAGAACTAGAATATGTATTTAAAAATTAATTTATAATAAACAATAATTTAAAACAGATTATATGAAAATAACGAACAAAAAAAACTAAAAACAAACATTTATGAATGAACAAAATTGTCTAATATAACTTAAACTTAACTTTTTTTTGAAAAAAGCAACCTAAAATCTAACTTTAAGGAATTTGTTGATAATGTTCCGTTTGTCAAGAGTAAAGCAAAGAAAATCATTCGTTTAAGTAATGCAATGAAAAGGATGTTCGTATAATTTTCGATAATTTTATTTTTCTGTAAATAAAAACCCATTGCACGAGAAAAAAAATTTATTCAATGCATTGTACATTTTTTAAAGCATAATCTATTATCTTAAAAGGTACAACATCACTTGTAAGGAAACCATGAATATAAGGCTTCATTTGTACAATTTTAAAGGAAACTAATTCATTAGTATTTGAAAGAAAATTTGTAGTTTTATCTGTAGATTATTAGCTATCTGCACCTATGATAGACTCGATAAAACAAACTATAAAACGTTGAAGTCTAGCTATAAGTTTAATCTGGAATCTGGGAAAATCAGCCGCAATTTTGGAAATTTGGCCCAATAGTCTGGTCAGGAGAGAGCTCCAAAGTTTGGATTAACGAATTTTATAATTGTGTACAAAAATCTTTCAATTCACTTAAAAAGTTCTCGAGATATAGCGAAATACGCTGAAAGTAAATGTAACATTAGTGATCCAAACTTTGGAGCCATCCCCTGATCTAACTACAGAGACCATATTTCCCAGATTGCGGCTACTCCCTATACTTTGGGATTAGAAATCCGAATCCGTTAAAAAACCGGTATGTTTATTCAGAGAAAGTATGTTTTTGTGTCTGATTTCGTAACTTAAAATAAAAAGAAGAAATCGTACTTTTAGAATTCAATTTCTCAGGAACTATTCGACCGCTTTTTCTCAAGTTTAAATTAAGCGATGTAAATTACATTCTTTAAAACCATGTAAAAAATTATATACTTTACAATTAAATTTTTTTTTACCATTATTAAAAAAAATAATAAATATATACTAAATGTTATTTTTATGGAATCATCTTAGATAAACGAATTTTATAATTCTATGCCGAAATTTTTCAATTCGCTTATAAAGTTCTCGAGATATGACAATATATCCAAAAAGTAAAATTAAAATTTTGGGTCCAAATTTTGGAGCGCTTTCCTAACCTAACTATTGAGACCATATTTCCCAGATTGCAGCTACTCCCTATACTTAGGGGGTCTGAAATCCGAATCTATAAAAAAAAAAGCATTTTTATTCAGAGAAGGTTTGTTTTTCTGCCGGATTTCGTAACTTAGAATATCGTCTGCAGTAATTAATTAGCATATTTGAAGTCACCCTGTCGGACCACTACGATTGAGTTGTAGAACGTGAAGATCCGATCATTAAATCAATAGTTATTCAGAATAATCAGTTTTGTTTTTCTTGCGCACAATACGTAGCTTTTATGTATAGACTTAGAATTTTCTGTTAAAAGTATTTTCGTGACCTTGACATTGACCTTAAAAATCTCTAATGCATAAATGAAATCTAAAAATTAAGGACCACTTCCTGATTCAATATTTCCGAATTGCTGTAACAAAATCTGAAATCAGTTCAATTCCACAGACTGGATGCGATTTATTAGACTTATATGAAACTTATAGAAATGTAATTTTACTCAAATATGAATGATTTTAAGGGAATATTTTTGAAACAAAAATGTGTTTCCATAAATAGTGAAATAAAATTCAGCCATTATATTAGTTATTTTGTTTACGAACACTAATATGCTTGTTCAAGGACATTTTTATGTTCGATTAAGCAGATAAGATTATTATATAGATATACTTATAAAACTTCCTGAAAAACGCCTCCATGGATAGTTTTAGCTTTATCATTTGCCATTAAATTTGTCTTTCGTTAAAAAAATATCGCAATTAAGAAAATCATTTATACATTACCTCTACTATATATTCAAAAATCATCATGTTTCAGAAAATTGAGGAAAAGGAGCAGTTAAAAAAGATGACGTGGTTAAAATTTCCGATAAATAGATTCCCCAAAATAACGTGCGTCATCACGTGCTTAGAACTTATTTATAAACTAGTTAAGCCAAGTCATTTCCTCCTTTTCCTATCTGAAATCCTTGAATCTGTTTAAAGAAAACCTTTGCTAAGGATTATTTTTTACGGCTTCTATGATGAAAAACAAAAATTGTAATACACATACATAATAAGCCAGTTCCCGTGATTTAAAAAAAATGGCTTAATGCGGAATAATTAAGAGTAAAAAGAGAAAATATGTTTTAAAGTTGCAGATTAGGCCTAATTTGCAGTCTGAAATTTGAATCCTCCACTAAGTGATGGGGGGGGGGGCTCGAACTCTGTTCTATGGACATGTAAGACATTAAGTGACATATTGACGAATGAGACCAAAACGAAATTTATAGAACTAATAGCTCAAAATTTTTCAAGTTTTTAAATATTAAAATTTTTATACCTATCTACATTTCTGATATGGCCATAAAGAAAAACGAACGATTAGATACTATGTACTTTTTTACACTGAATTGAACCGAGATCAAAACCAAGTCTATGGGACTAATTTTCAAGGCGTTCTAGTTTCTTGTATAAAAAGTACTATTTTTGTACTTTTAACGATTATTGATGTTGCTATCTGGATAAGTGAAGCAATGTTTCTTATGTATGTTTTTATGTTTAGTTCAATAATTTCAAAAGTAAGTTGATCGGACTAATAGTTTAGAAATAATTAATGTTTTATATGTAAAAATTGATAGATATATACGTAAAAAAAAAATACTTAAATAGGTGAAGAATTTTAATATTAATACTTGAAATTCTCCAAACTTTTTAACTATTAGTCCTATCGATCCAGTCTTGTTCTCATTCTTTCGAAGTTTTAGACTTCTATCTTTTTGGTAAAGTTTCATACAGCACATTTTACAATTGGAGTAGTAGCGCCTAATTACCCCGATAACTATAAAATATCGCAATAAAGCCTTTCAGTTTTTCTATTTATCTCATAAAGATCACATGTTTCAAATTTGAGGTTCTTATCTTAGTAAAAACGTGTTGTTTAGCGTCAATTTTAGGATAATTACCCCGATAATTGCAAAATACAGAAATGAAAGTTTCTCAGTTTTTCTTTCTGTCTAGGAAAACATTATGTAACTTTGAGACTTCTATCTTGGTATTCGCATGTTACTAAGTATCAGTGTTAATTTGGCTAACTACTCAACAAAATACTTTGATAATTACAAAAGAAAGAAATCGAACAACTTTTTTCAGTTTTTCTATTTATTTCATAAGGAACACGTGTTCCAAATTTGAGATTTCAATCTTGGTAAAAACGTTATTCAGCATTACTGCCAATTAGGCTAAATACCCTAATTAAGCCGATGAGCCTCAATAATTACAAATATCAAAATGAAACTTCTTTTTTTCCTATTTATCTCATAAAGAACACATAGTCCAAATTTGAGACTTTCCACTGGGTAAACGTGTGTTACTTAGCATTATACAGTCATATTTAGGATAGTTATACCCTAATTACCCCGATAAATACAAAATATCGAAGTGAAACTTTTTTGCTTTTTCTTTATATGTGATTAGGAACACGTAGCCGAAGTTTGAGACTCCTATTTTGATATTTAGGATTACTGTCAATTAGGCTAATTACCCCGATAGTTACAAAATATCGAAATGAAGCTTTTTTGTTTTTCTATTCATCTCACAAGGAACCTATGGTCCAAATTTTATTTTTCTAACTTACTGGCTTAATGGAAAGTGGGAGAATAAGTCAGATTTTCAGAATATAATAGAAATTAACTTTTAAAAACGCGGCAACGAGAACGCCTCCACGCGTCAC